CTTCAGGTGCGCGGCAGTTCTCGTGAGCTGTTCAGAAGTTCTGATAAGGTTCATGTCATCGACATATACGACAACAATCGCAAATCCAGAATGTGACTTCTTAATGAACACACAAGGGCACAGTTCATTGTTCACATATCCCTGACTAGTCAAATACTCACTCAGGCGGTTATACCACATTCTTCCAGATTGTTTCAAACGGTAGAGTGAACGCCGCAGCAAAATTGAGAGCGTGTTCCAGGGTTTGGAAATATTTGAACCAGTCAATGTAAGTCCTTCGGGAACTTTCATATAAATTTCTATATCAAGATCCCCATAGATATGCGGTTATTACGTCCATCAGCTGCATATCCAGTTTTTCGAAAACTAACAAATTGATAAGGTAGCAAAAAGTAATCACATCCATAATGGGTGAATAAGTTTCGTCATAGTCAATCCTGGGGTGTTGTGAGAAGACTTGTGCAATAAGAAGAGCTTTGTAACGCATAATTTCGTTCTTCTCATTACGCTTCCAAACGAAAACCCACTTGTAGCCAACGGGTTTCACATGTGGAGGAGTAGGAGCTACAAGTCCAAACACTTTACATTTTGCAAGCGAATCGAGCAATCATTTATAAACGCTTAATGAAAGCCTTTGCCAAGTTGTTCTGGGTGTGAACATGGGGTACAAGATGTTCAACTTCAACCCCAGTCGACATGCAATAGTCATCAAAAATTTTAGATGTGAATTCTCCAACATTATCCAATCAAATAGGTTTGATCGGATAATCATGGTAGTGAACCTTGAGCTTGATAACCTGAGCCAACAGTTTGGAGAATGCAGCGTTCCTTGCGGACAACAAACACACGCGCGACCAACGTGTGGAAGCGTCAACCAAAACCATAAAGTATGTAAACGGTCAGCAAGGATGATGAATCGGTCCACAGATGTCCCCCTGAATCCGTTGTAGAAAAATGGGAGGATTTGAACGAATCTTGTCATAAGAAGGCTTAGTAATAAGCTTTCCCATTGAACATGTTTGGCATGCAATTCCTTGGATCGAACCTAAACTTTGGGTTAGTGAATGCCCATGTGAAGATTTGAGGATACGGGCACATCGTTATTCATCCAAGATGTCCCAAACGATCATGCCAAAGTGTAATTTAGTGCACGATCCCAATAGTAGGGCCGATCACATAGTGGCATTCAATAGGGCGTATGGTCGTAATATACAGACCACTCGGGGTATGCTTTATCTTCTCTAGAATACGTTTCTGGCCATATTCGTAGGAAGTTATGCACAGAAATTCAACTTCGTTTTCTACATGGGTTTCCGCATGGTAATTGTTATATCTAATGTCCTTCAAACTCAACAACGTTCTTCCGGAACATGGAGAATAGAGTGTCTAAAAAATGGTCAAGATTGTACCATTGGACAACATTATAGGGCCTTACTGTATCCTTCTATCATTTGCCGGAGAGGGTTGTCGAGGGTGCATTCTTAGGTATGAAGTTAGTGAAATAGATGCGTTCACGCAAAACTGTGTGCGTTGATGCATTATCTGCCAAACAACTAACTTTCCCACTAGTCATACCTAGAATGAAAAATTAATTTTGAATCAGTCACATGCATAAAAGTTCATAAAAACAAGTATCAATTCAAAATAATTTCATTTATTCAAGGATGGTAATTAATTATAACTTAATATCCAAAAAACAAATCACCAACAAATAATCCAAATATAAAGGAAAATTGTTCAAAAATCAACCAAAAACAGAGGAGGGGTTCGGCCACTAGGTGGAATTCAGTCCCATTGTCTTATTTCAACTAAAAAATAAGTCTATGTCTAATATTCTAATCTTCCATAGGGGTGGTATCCTCTTGAAAGTCAGAAACCTCCATTTTTGTAGTCTCTGGTTCATCCACTTGCATAAAATTTGATTCAAACTTCTTACGACGAGAATGATGTTCATCTACAACCTTCTTAGGAGCTCGGCAAACACGGGACCAATGGTCCTTTGAACCACAACGATAGCACATATCTGCGTCCATGGTTTCAGGTGCTTTGGCCTTATTCTTGAAGTTCGGGGCTTTGGGAGCTAGGTTTAGGCACTTCAAGGCCTTGTTTCATCCCTTAGATGGGCCTTGACTCTGTTGACCTTGGTGGGATGGCTTCTGGCCGCCCCTACCACGTCTCTTTTGGCATTTTAGGCATTGGTTGGTGTTATAATGTGCTTCAGGCACAGCAGTCGCCCTAGTAGGTCGAGCTTGATGATTCTTCATCAATAGCTGGTTCTGCTTTTCAGCGAGAAGTAAAATAGAGATCAAATCCGAGAACTTAGTGAACTTTTGAGCTTTATATTGTTGCTGAATGACAATATTAAAAGCAGAAAAGGTCGAATAGGTCTTCTCGAGGAGATCCTCTTCAGTCAAAGTTTCGTTGCAAAATTTGAGAAGTGATCGGATTCGACAAACTTTAGAATTATATTCATTCATAGACTTAAAGTCTTGGAAGTGCAAGTGCTGCCAGTCGTGTCTTGCTTCAGGCAAGAATATGTCATTTTGGTGAGCAAAACGATCAGCCAAAGCGAACTATAGTGCACATGGATCCTCCTTAGCAAGATACTCAGTTTGCAGAGCGTCATGGATATGTCTTCAGATGAAGATCATAGCAGTGGCTTTTTCAGCTTCGCCAACAGGGTTGTCCATCTCTTCTTCAATAGCTGGACGTAAGTTCTTGGCAGTAAGGTAGAGCTTTACATCTTGAACCCACTTGAGGTAGTTTTTTTCCAGAGACCTCTAAAAAGGTGAAGTCCCGTTTGTTCAAATTCGACATGTTCCTATCACAAAATAGATGGACAAGATGTGGTTAGTGTAATAGAGAAAAATCAATCCATTCACAAATGAGTAGAACATATAGGTTCTAATAGACATGTATTGGTTTAAGTTTGCATGAAAAAGTTTGGGTTTTCATGGGTGATGTTTTTAAATGAAAAACTTCAAGTTTTCAAACAAGGCATATTTATAAGAAACTTCAGATTTCAAAATAATTATGAAATTCAGGTTCATATATTCCTGCAGGCAATCACAAATATATACAAAAAAAATATGCAACAAGAATATGCAAAGTAGAATCTTTTAGGTCTACAATTATAATTGAATTTTAATTATTTCGACTTCTGGCCAAATTAAAGTGTGGGTGAAAAAATATAAAACCCATTGGACCTAAAATAATTAGGCAAATAAAACTTGGGGCCCAAAAGAGAAATATAAGCCCACAGGGGGCTGTATAAAAATGATGTCGTGTGACCTAGACCCTAAATTGGGCTAGGGTGTCCTGGGTGGGGCTGCAGGCCCATGGGGAGAAATGGGCAGGGGAATGGGCTACAGTAGGTAGACCAAAAAAAAAATTTCTTTTTTTTTTGCGGCTCGTTTCAGGCGAGCCCAAATTTATTTTTTTTCATATTCAAGTCGGGGAAATTCTAGAGCCTAACGGGTTGGAGCAGGATTCCAGTAAAGGGGCCAAGCTAAGTGCCTCGGGTGTCCAGCCGAGGAGCCCATGGCTCCGACTTGCGGTGTGGCACGGCTCAGCCCACAGGCTACAGGCCTGGGCAAGGTCGTGGGTTCAAAAAAAACCATTGTGGCACCAGGTTTATTTCCCGATTTCAAAAAAAAATTGCTCTTTTTTTTTCAATTCAATTCAATTCATATGTAATTCAATTTGATGCATATACAAATATATTTGATGCAATTCATAACCAATATCAAATTCACATAATTCAACAATCATGATTATGAGGCATACACAATTTATGTAGAATCTAAAATTCGTAAAATGTAAAGTTGGTCATGCATCATGATGAATATTCATGCTATCAGGGCTGTAAAAATGTCGAGATAAAAACTGTTGTTTTGAAAGAACCTGATTGCGTGATGATATGAATAAACTGGTTTGATGCAGAAAAATTCTTCAACGTTAGATTCCTAAGCGCAACGGTAGGAGCATGCTAATAACGTGTTGTGGTCTATTTTATCTGACAAGTTTAGGGTGGCTGGCGGCAAGGAGAAGAGAGAGATGTGTTTATAAAATTGTAGGGGAATGTGTATGTTGTTATCCCTCCTACATTGTGCCTTTATTTATAGTAGTAAGGGAGAGAAGATATTCTTTCATCCCCAAGGAATACAAGATACAATAGGAAATGATAACTAGAATCAAATCTAATCTAGGATTTACACAATCACACTTAAACTATGAATGTTTACAACAATATTATCAATAAAAATATTATACTACTAATAATTGATAAGCATATAACTTATATTATTAATAATATAATGAATACAATTGCTAGTGTTGACATCCATATTTAATAATGCATGATTACTGATAATTCGTTTCTCTATATAATAAATATTTATATATTTTTTTTTAAAATGAAAATGGTATGATTTCGAGAATAGGTTTGGGGTGGATACGGGATACCTCAATAACTATAACCGAATTCGAAATCGAAAAATTTACCCGACGGTTACTCATAACCGTAAAATACTCAAAATTTAATCCCCCAAAACTGATCTGTTCGAATCAGCACCTACAGGAATCGAATTTGGCAAGTTAAATTACTATCCATATCTGTCATCTTAGAACCTAGGCGACGAACGCCTGCTTTCGGAAGCAACTTGTTTTCATCTAGCGAGTGGGTTTTTTGTACTGTAGGTCCACTTACTATTTGTTGGTTTCTAATCGATTTAATTAGAATAATTATGAAAACTAGGAAATGAATGGTAACATTTGATAATTTAACAAGATGACTTATCCTTATTCATTATAATATTTATAATATTTATATTATTTATTTAATAATGAATAATATATTTGTATATGACAGTGCATATATACGTGTGTGTGTCTATATATATATATATGCATGCATGTATATAGGATGAAAATGTACAGACGGAGGGAGGTAGAGAATTAATGAGTTGAGTCGAATGAGTTGAGTCTTGATTCTGAGAGAGATGGCAGATAATGTCTTTGGCGAACCCATCACAAACGCAACTTTGGAAGGCATGCGAGAGTATGCATGTAGGCGGGGGCAAATTGAAAGAATCAACAGGGCACGCGTGGCCATGAATATGAAAAACGCGGCCGGGAAGGACGTGAAAGCGCGAACACATGCGGAAAAATTGAAGGCAAAATCCGGTGCCGGAATCGCCACTCTCTGCCTTGTTTACAATGCGACGGGAAGCACTCTAGAATATGTTGGTCAAAAAGATTGGATTGGCCTCATGGGAAAGTCCCCATACCCACCACTTATTGCAAATGGCCAGTGGGCTGCGTTTCTGCACGTCAGAGACCCCAAAATTCAATGGGGCTCTTCTGCCGCTGTAGTGTATCGCGGAAAGAACGCTGGTGGTATCAATTGCGACTGGATGCTGAGTTGGGCCAACCCGAAGGACAGGGTTACATGGGACAACAGGGTAAGTAGTGATTTTATCTGTATATACATATTTGAAATCGAACGCATTTCATATATCTCAGAGCATATTTACTTAGAATAAACAAATTTGTTGAGAATTGAGTCATCTCACAATGATTTATCAGGTATGAGCGCGGTTATCTCATGACCATCCTCATTCCTTTACAATGTGTATGTGCGTGTGCAGGTCTACACGGAAGTTCGCAAAATTAACCACTTTAACAATGGAGCAACTTGGGGCGAAGTAAAAATCGCTTGTGTGCTACTCGGTCTCGGTTCTACCATAAGGACACATGGAACGGATGTGTTTCAATGATCTCAACTGGCAGCGGGATTTTCCCAATTGTTGAAGGAATACTCACTTTAGAAAATGTCTGAGTTGGTGCATTTGTAATAGCTAGGTCTGGCAATTCCTGACACGACCCGATAACCCGACACGACACGACATGAAATTAACAGGTGTTTGGGTCGACACGATAACGAATCGGGTCGTTATCGGGTAACCCGATAAGCACCTGTTAAGATAACGGGTTGATTCGGGTATACACGTGGGTAACACGATACACGATAAGCAGAATATTAATTTTATAATTTTATAACCCTAAAAAAATACTATAATAATTATATATATTAATTTAACAATTTTATACCCCTAAAAACTATAATATATAAATATATATATATATATATTAAATTAACTATAATAATTATAATAATTATATATAGTATATACTATAAAATTATACCCCCAAAATATTAACTATAATTATATATATATATATATATAAATTAAATTTTAAATTAAATTTTATAAAAACTATATTAATTATTAATTAATATGCATCCATTGATTCTATAATTCCATTCCATTCCTGCTGCACCCTTTGAAGAAAAAGGGAGGGAAAATGAAAATTATAAGAAAAGCTGAAAAGGAAACAAAAAAGAGAGGGAGGAAAGATGGGTAGGTTAGTGCCCTTTGAAGAAAAAGAAGGAAGGGAAAAATGAAAATTATAAGAAAAGCTGAAAAAGAAACAAAAAAGATAGAGAAAAATGAAAATTAATAAAAGTGGTGAGAAATTTTATTTTTTTTAAGTTATTAACTTTTTATCACACATATGACATATTCCATTATTTTTATAATGACACATAATGTACTACTCCGTGTACCGGTCAATTATACATACAAAATAAATAGATTTAAATCTACTTAATAAATAAATATATATACACACACACACACCATTGAACTTGATGGGATACAAATTATACAAAACTAATTTCAACGATCCAACCGTCAAACTTGTTTGTATATGCTTCGAGATCGTATCAGCAAAAAATCGCAAAAAACAAACATTCAGAGATCAAGTAACCAAACAAAACCTTTCGATGGTTATAAAATGAAAAATCACGATTTAACGGTTATTTTAACTCCGATTTTGATGATTTTTTATAGCTACACTCCTTGACCTATATAAATACAATGAATTGAATTCGATCTTCAATTTAAAATATTTACACTAGTGGATACCACAAAATCTTATGTTATACTTAATAAAAGTATGAATAAACTCTTAAGTATTAGTGAATCTATTGTTTTGATGGGATACTCATTCTACGAAACTAGTTTCAATGATCCAACCGTCAAACATGTTTGTATATATTTCGAGATCGCATACGCCAAAAATTGCAAAAAACAAACATTCAGAGATAAAGTAACGGGACAAAACTTTTCGACGGTTATAAACGAAAAATCACGATTTAACGGTTATTTTAACTCCGATTTTGATGATTTTTTACAACTACACTCCTTGACCTATATGAATACAATGAATTGAATTCGATCTTCAATTTAAAATATTTACACTAGTGGATACCACAAAAATCTTATGTTATACTTAATAAAAGTATGAATAAACTATTAAGTATTAGTGAATCTATTGTTTTGATGGGATACTCATTCTACGAAACTAGTTTCAATGATCCAACCGTCAAACATGTTTGTATATACTTCGAGATCGCATACGCCAAAAATTACAAAAAACAAACATTCAGAGATCAAGTTAACGGGACAAAACTTTTCGACGGTTATAAACGAAAAATCACGATTTAACGGTCATTTTAACTCCGATTTTGATGATTTTTTACAGCTACACTCCTTGACCCTTATATGAATACAATGAATTGAATTCGATCTTCAATTTAAAATATTTACACTAGTGGATACCACAAAATCTTATGTTATACTTAATAAAAGTATGAATAAACTATTAAGTATTAGTGAATCTATTGTTTTGATGGGATACTCATTCTACGAAACTAGTTTCAATGATCCAACCGTCAAACATGTTTGTATATACTTCGAGATCGCATACGCCAAAAATTGCAAAAAAACAAACATTCAGAGATCAAGTAACGGGACAAAACTTTTCGACGGTTATAAACGAAAAAATCACGATTTAACGGTCATTTTAACTCCGATTTTGATGATTTTTTTACAACTACACTCCTTGACCCTATATGAATACAATGATTGAATTCGATCTTCAATTTAAAATATTTACACTAGTGGATACCACAAAATCTTATGTTATACTTAATAAAAGTATGAATAAACTATTAAGTATTAGTGAATCTATTGTTTTGATGGGATACTCATTCTACGAAACTAGTTTCAATGATCCAACCGTCAAACATGTTTGTATATACTTCGAGATCGCATACGCCAAAAATTGCAAAAAAACAAACATTCAGAGATCAAGTAACGGGACAAAACTTTTCGACGGTTATAAAAAAGAAAAATCACGATTTAACGGTCATTTTAACTCCGATTTTGATGATTTTTTACAACTACACTCCTTGACCCTATATGAATACAATGATTGAATTCGATCTTCAATTTAAAATATTTACACTAGTGGATACCACAAAATCTTATGTTTATACTTAATAAAAAGTATGAATAAACTCTTAAGTATTAGTGAATCTATTGTTTTGATGGATACTCATTCTACGAAACTAGTTTCAATGATCCAACCGTCAAACATGTTTGTATATACTTTCGAGATCGCATACGCCAAAAATTGCAAAAAACACAAACATTCAGAGATCAAGTAACGGGACAAAACTTTTCGACGGTTATAAAACGAAAAATCACGATTTAACGGTTATTTTAACTCCGATTTTGATGATTTTTTACAACTACACTCCTTGACCTTATATGAATACAATGATTGAATTCGATCTTCAATTTAAAATATTTACACTAGTGGATACCACAAAATCTTATGTTTATACTTAATAAAAGTATGAATAAACTATTATTAATTATATATAATTATTTAAATCAATTATACCCCTAAAAAACTATTAATAATTTTAATATATTATATATATATTTATATATAAATTAAATTATTGAAAAATTTGAACATGAACTCATTGAAGGCAATAGATCAAGCCAAAGTTCCAATGCAATTTCATGATGATCGATGTAAATCGAGGATTTTGTAAATTGAGGTTTAAACTTTTGAGAAAGATTTCACAACCTTGAAAACAAAAACTGTTTCATTTTGCATATCCTTGCACATTTAAAATTTGTAATAGATTAGTAGTGTATGTATTATTTTTTTTTTATTAGGCTCTTATTTTCGAGTGTAGATGTAGTACTTAAACGACAAATGTGTTTTAATGTTTTGAAGTAATATTTATGTGGCAATGTGTGGTATGTGCAAATTTAAGAAAAAAAATATATTTTTCTTAACGGGTCATAACGGGTCGGGTCACTTTACCCGTTGGGTAAAGTGACACGACCTGTTAAGACCCGTTAACGGGTGTGACACGACACGACCCGTTAAGATAACAGGTGTTACACGAAAACGACACGAACACGACTGACACGACCCGTTTGCCAGGCCTAGTAATAGCCCACGCACTTTAATTTCTCGTATGCATGCATGGGGACTTTTAATAAATTGGTAGTGAACCAATAGTATTTCATGTTAATTTTAGTTCAATAATGGGCTTGTATTTTGAATCTTCTTGTATGTTATTCTAATCTTAATAAATTTAAGTAGAATTTCAATACTCAGGATTTTTGGCATAGTCAAATGCAGTCTAATATGAAAGAATCCAAGCTTGTAAACTAAGTCACGATCATTTGTGAACTTGAAGTACCATAAAAAATACAACGATCGAGAGGAGGTAGGGGAGTGCATGAATCTCCATACTTTGTTAACAAATTAATTAAAAAAATATTTCGACCATATAACTACTGTCGACGAATTTATACATATCCATAATTAGTACGTTGATCATCAATAATTAAGTACTTCCCCAATAAGATATATGTGAACATCGATTTGAGGTGAGTTTAATACTCGGTTATGCTTGGCCATTGGCTTGAGGCACGTACCAATTGTGACTATGATAGACTGCTTCACTATAAAATCAACCCTTTTAATTTAAATGACACTTTCTTTTGGAGCTAGCGTTTTGCATTATGGTTAATCTCTTATGAGAATTCTGGCAACGGGTTAGTTAGTGGGAATTGCAAAGAGTTGGGATGTGCACAAGGAAGACGCAAGATAAAAAATGTATTAATAAATAATTAATATCACCCTCTTTTTGAGTGAGAAATAAACTTAGAATTTAAATAAAAATCGAAATTTTCATTGTAGAATATTCATAATTAGAATTGTTTAATTTTTTTCACTTCTAGTACAATTTCGTGAGTTCAGCTGCTTAAAATAGTCTTAAGATATAACCTTTGAAGTTATGACCTTTTTGTCCACATGACCTACATGCATATGGCTTGGTGTAAATCCATCTTTTCAACTTCTTCATGACTTGTAACTTTGAAACTTCACATAATTGCAAGTCTAAAAAATGAAAATGGTATGATTTCGAGAATAGGTTTGGGGTGGATACGGGATACCTCAATAACTATAACCGAATTCGAAATCGAAAAATTTACCCGACGATTACTCATAACCTTAAAATACTCAAAATTTAATCCCCCAAAACTGATCTGTTCGAATCAGCACCTACAGGAATCGAATTTGGCAAGTTAAATTACTATCCATATCTGTCATCTTAGAACCTAGGCGACGAACGCCTGCTTTCGGAAGCAACT